ATGCTTCCACTCTTATATTACATATTGGCATATACATGCATCATATTTATTGCTTGTCAATTTCCACATTTACTTGACAAATGTGGTCAAGCAAATGTAAACAAGGAAACTTGCAAGCAATTGCAGAGAAGTGATGAATGGAGAGGAGTAAAGGAGTCTATTGCTTGTCAATTTCAACATTTACTTGACAAATGTGGTCAAGCAAATGTAAACGAGGAAACTTGCAAGCAATTGCAGGGAAGTGATGAATGAAGAGGAGTAAAAGACTATTGAGTTATTTTGGCCTTCTTTATAAAAGGTCCAACATTAATGTTGCTACTTTTTGGAACAAATAATTTTCCACCAAATATAGTTCTCTTTCTTTAAGTTTTGGTTTTTAGTTCCCACTTCTTGTCACTTTCTTTATTATTCTAACTTTCTTTTTATTCTTGGAGATTCATTATAATATGAACTACATATTAAAAGTGTAATTACATGTGGAAAGACTACATGATTGCTAGCTGTATGCATTTTCTTTCCTAGTTTTTTTTTTTTTTTACTGAAATCCATTCTAGACTTTATGTACTTGTTAATTTCTTATATTTTTATCTTCCTAGAATGAATTGAAATGATTAATAAAAAAGGCCAAGGAAGGATGCATTCTATATATCAAAGAATGAGAAGGTTATAAATAAATGCCTTTTGATAAATTAAGGTTTAGATCTATGCCATCATTATTGTTTTAAATTGAGTCCAACTATGAGTCATAAATAGGCCAACGATCTAAGTAATTTAGTGATAATTTCTTTTTACTAAAAGGAAGAGATCTTGCGTTCGAGTCGTATGACATGCAGTTGGGGCGAGATAAGGGATTGGAAAGGGTTGCCTCTTGTTGTGCAACCAACATTAAAAAAAAAAAAAAAATTGAGTCATAAAATAGAATACTAAATAGATTTTCACCTATGTTTTTCATCAATCAAGTGAAAAAACATAATCATCTTGAAAATCCTTAATTTTACGTAGATACAAAAGTTGTGACCATCAAGAATTGAGAGAAAATCCAAGTTTTTGGCTCTTTACCAATGCAACTCAAAAGAAAATAACCCCCTCTACTTTTTTTGCACGTATTGTTTTAATTTGATCTAGTTAACAGATAAAAGTTCTCACATAAAATTGACAAAAGACCTAATTGAGTCTTGGTCATGGCACTATGATCCAAGTCGTCGCTAACACCTTGGTGTTCAAGTTGTTAAATGGCTTCTTACCTTCCTTTTTTTTCCCTGATGTTCAAGTCTTTGTCAAGTCTTCGTCAATCCCTTGATGTCTCTATCAATACTTTATACGTGTTTAATTTTCAAAGTCACTCAAACTTTGCTAAAAGTGAATAGATGAGATTTAGTGTATATTATCCTCAAGAAAATATAAAGCTGAAATGAAAGAGAAGATTTTTGTAATAATATGTAGATCTTAATTTGTCACACACATAATTTTTTGACTAGAACTATCACTAATTAAAAGCTAATGTAGTCAGAGTAACTATTAGCTTTTGGAAGGTTGGTGGTAGCATGATGTGATGATCCCGTATCAAAGAAGGATTAATCCAATTCTCGTTTGAAGTATTTAACGATGCAACAGATATATTGAGGTATCATTTCCGTGGCTTGAGTTTTGAATTCTAAACAGTTTTTTACATAACTTTCCTATTGCATGACTAAACGATTCGGCACCTTTGTATACAGTTGTTGTATTAATTCTTGTTAAAAGTGTATCAATTATATTTTTATTTACAAAAATAGTCTTTTTAATATGCGTGTATTAATTCTTGTTAGAAGCGTATTAATTATATTTTTATTTACAACAATAGTCTTTTTAATATGTGTGTTGAGAGCATTATGAATGTATTAATTATATTTTTTAATTAATTTTTATAAAAATAAAAATTAATTTTTATCAACCCTTTAATTAAATCATACATATGTCATTGATATTGAAATTGAAATTAACTTTTGTTTTTTTTTTAATAATTTTTCTAACATATGTCATTATCT